GGGATGCCATGAAGGAGGATACCATCCGCAAGTCATTTGAAAAGGCGTTAACAATTTTTGAGATTTAATCCAATATTTTGGTAATTGTTGTGTGTTTTTTTCACTATTTAAATTATTTTACATTTTTTAATACAAATATTCATATAGATTGAAAAAGTATAAAAAGTTCACACTGCCCACAGGACCTCATGCTAATCCTTCACCCCTCACACCGCAATGCTACTTAGATTAGGTCATTCAGCATTTCGCCAACTTACCCTAATCACCACGTTTACAGTAGCGAGCGACGACAGCGACGACAGAGCATCCGCCCACAAAATTGCGCGCACCGCAGCGTAGCGGAGGTCGTGTGTATAATTTTGTGCAGGCGGTGCCTTGGCGAGGAGTGAGCCCCAATCTTGCACTTCACCGAATGTCCAATCGATTCCTCTTGTCGGGAATAGCGGCAGGTAGGCCGTAGGCCGTGCCGCTACCCGGACAAGGCCTGTGGTACAACTATTCGCATTTAATGCGTAAATCCGCTTAAGTGCGTGTCGGAAGCACATATCCAGCAAATATTTGTCCGAGTCGTTATGGTATGGCTGTTGTGAATTGGAGGTGACATTCTAAATGCCACACTACTACATATTTTACTTTTAACCTGGTTTGTCCGAGTGGACTCAGCACTCTGTAAGTTGTAATAACACGTAATAACACGATCCGTACTTTCCACCTACACAACCTCAACACAACGTCAGAGTGATCAAAACGGAAAGATAAAATGAGTCCATCTAATGCCTGGACGGGCAATGCTATTTCATCAATGATTATGTCGTCAAAATGTTAAGTCTATGCAACTAGACGAACAAATAAATACACAGCGTGGGCGTCGACAGAGACATGTAACATTATGTGCGAATATGTATGAGGCCATGCGAATGATGCTTACAGTTAATACTGCGAGCCAAGTTAATATGAATTTGAATGATTAATTACTACGAAGTACGTAGTATTAACCAAGCAAAATTGCATTCATCAGATTAATATAATAATGAATAGAATGAACGTATGGCGCAGTGTCAACGGGGAGTGGATGAATACGTGAAGTCGTCGACTGGTTGCACATGGCAGCTGGCCAACTCATGAAGTCCCTCAACGAAGACGCCACGCACGACAACCAATCCACCGCCGACGGCGCCATCCTCGTGAATGTCATCAAGTGTGAACGCGACCTGAAGAACTGCGTCGTGTGCTGGGGTGTCGCCCGTATGACTGCCCTCAATTGACTCGAAGGCATGGCCATGAAGCTGCGTGTCAATCGTGCGGGCGCGAAGGGAGCCACCACCACGTTCGAGTCTTTGTCGATGGATCTCCCCACGCGTTGGATGGGTTTTACCTCGACATTCCCACTGACCTCCAAGGCCAACTTGACGAACGACTGCTGTTTGAGGCCATGCCGCGTTTGGAACCGCACTTCCTTTGGGGATCGTACAACAGCGTGTCTGCCACGTCCAGCCTTGCTGGGGCCCGCTACCGTCTGCACTTTCTGGGCTCTGACATTCCGTCGTCCATGCTTGTGGGCGATCGAATGGTCGAGGAATTTGTGTTTCGCGGCCGCTGCCTTCGCGTGTACGGGCGTGGACGGTTCTTCCGTGACCACCAACTTGTCCGGATCAACCTCGACGGCCCAACACCACCGGACAACCTCGCGTGATGCAACCCACACAATCCACCGTCTCTAAGCCATCCCAACCCAAAGCAGCCAAACGAAAAAGGCTGCCACGCGCGACACCACCGATTTTACAAAGTTCAACGTAAAAAGGTCCGCCGCAGCTCGAACTCTCAACCCCACCCACCTCTAGGCCATGGTGGACGACCATGGACATCTTTCAACGCGTTTACAGACCTCGAAGAGAGATGGGCCGTCGGCTACACGTGCCATGCACTCTGGGATGATGACGTCAGCTCGGCCACCATATTTCCCGAGCCTGACGCCCACGTCGCGGACCTGCACCATGACACGAGTTCGTCACATGCATGAACGTTCATGCTGGGACCCCAACGGCCACCGTGGCCCCCCTCGACCTACTTTGCTGAGCTGGCAGCTCAGGACGCTGCCTCACACCTCGCCATGTCGACCCACCGGGCAGAAGTGCAAGCGGCTCACACGGATGGTCATTTCGACATGACTGCGCTGGTCAACGCAATGCGTGTTGACACATTGTGTGGCCACCTGTCGTCCCATCTGGTCAAATTCGGTATCCAACTCCTAACTCACGACCATTCCACCTTCGAACTCTTTGTTCGCCAACGACTACTGCATCGGTGGTAGCGTGCAACGTGTGGTCCTTTGACCGCCTTTACACCCGACGTTTGGAAAGGTGGCGTCAAAAGCGAACATCGTCGAACTATTCGCGTCATTGGTGTTCCCCGACGACCATGAAACCTAACCGCGGACACAGAGGATGGCGACGAGCTGTGTCTCTCCCGCTTCGATATTGAGCTTGTGCTCGCAATCGCCGAAGTGTTATTGGCTGTCCACGGGCCACTCTTCTTCAACTCGGAGGCTGTCCTGCTGGCAACCACTGGCACACCTGTGGGGGTGATTGCATCCCATGGTGTTATGCGATGCTTGTCGTCGGATACTATGGCAGCGGTGCTGCTGACACCACAACTGGGGTCTGAACTGTGGCGCCTCCTTGAGGTGGTGTAGCTTTGGACGATGACATGCGGCGCTTCCTCTCGACACTGCGCCGTGTCCCTTTGACCCTGCACGATATGTACGGGCTGGGCCAGTGTGACTTGACCACTCTTGGCCAAGTCCAAGTTCACGAGTCCACCCTTGCCTCGTAGTGCACACAAACTACCAGTGCTAGCTAATGCGATCCCTGGCGACCTTCTTCACCCAATTTCATCCTTCACCATGCCAACCTCCAACCTCAATGGACTCTAACGCAACGATCACCTCGTTGCCAGTAGTCTCAAATCTCCACCGTCCTGCGTCGTCTTCCAAGAGACGAAGCTCGACAACGTGAAAAAACTCGAAACCTTCCCCCGCCACCTCGAGAACGAGGTTGGGGCAACCAACTACCAACTGTTTGTCAACGACTTCCAGGACTCCAACGTTGACTCAACCAGGCATCGCCAGCGTGGCGTAGCCAGACGTGGCCAAATCCCCTTCGATCTACCGTGCAGTAATGGCGGCGGCCCCATAGTCACGACTGCATTGGTTGTGATGCCGGCTTTAGCAATGCCCACATGTTTCCGAAGTGCCCGTTGTGGAATGTCGTATGCACTCGCAGCAGAAGGTACTGAATGGGTTTTGGATTAGACTGTCTGAACGGCTGCTCTCAAGGTGTCATCGGTGTACGGCGTTCGACGCGGCACTATGCTTTCCATGCAAACTCGAAAACCTTTTAAATATGATAATGTTCCCACCATAAACTTTTACAGATTATTGGCTTGAGAGGTTCTGTTTTGTCTAATAGTAAAATTCTACTATTGTGAATTCGGCCCAAATTTGCTGAAACAGCACCATTCAGCCCACTGAATTGAAATGATTCACAAATGAATCCAGGACAGTTATTGGTCAAAGCAAACACAATTTTCGGCAAAACATTTTGGTCTTGGTGTGGGGGAGCATTTTGCATCATGAAGCATGACAACATGCCCATCCGAACACTGTCTACCATTGTCTTTACGGATACTATCACCTCGGGTAGGGTTGCACCGACGGGGTCTGACTTTCGACGCGATGAGCTGCAGTACGAACGCGCAGCGGATATGGCGACGCTCGGTTGTGCACAACTGGCTGTGCAGGAGTTTGGACAATGCCTGGGCTTTCTTGGAGAGCTCTGCGGAAGGGTGATTGAGAGAAGCGGAGTGACACCAGGAAGCTGCTTCACTGGGTGACTGCGTCGGCGTGAACTCCCCTGTGGCGTGATCGACCATTTGGCGTTTGGAGGCGCTCAGAAACCCTTGCACACATCATAATTATAGGTTTTCACAGGAAGTTTCATTCGTGGCGCGATTTCTCTGTCGCGATTCAACGAATCGCGCTCGGAAATTTTGAGTAGAACTCACAATACCTCCGATTGGAAATGATTGATTGGTATATTTTTAGTATACAGGTATTATCATATTTGCTGTACCGCATATCTCCACCTAAACCTCTATAACTAGATAAGGTCAGGAGAAATCAGATATAGGTGTATAGAGTTTATACCGAAGCACAGTGAAAATTGATCATCGTTCCTCATTGATTGTGACCATAACTTCTAAGATACTCTAATTAGAACTCTAACATTAAAATCGGATTTCTAGCGAAATTCTCTACATGGAAGTATACCTATTGTCAAGGCAATATAACCTATCTTGACAGAGATACAATTGTTCAAAGCTCAACAAAGTGAAACCTATCAATCGATCGAAATAGACAGCAACAACCTAAAAAAATATACCGAATGTTATGCGACAGATAACGGCATGGGACGAAAATATACTGGAAAAACATGAACTTACACGGTACTACAAGTCTGACTGCTCATATCAATTTAAACAAGATATGCAAATAAGCAGTGAATACAAGATCGCAAGCAGAATGACACTCGGCAAGGGCTTTACCATGCCGACGACCTTGCTCCAGTTCCAGTCGTTCACGAGCTCACCGAATGTGTCGTTCTTCCAGAAGCTGGCCCAGCTCAAGCTGGATACGTATCAGCTAAGTGATGCCACGCAGGTAGGTCCTGCTGTTCCAAACTGCTCGACGTCTCAAGCCCGATTAGGACATCACAGGCTTCTTCGAGCTGAATTCACATGCCACAGTCCCTCCACGCTTCCTTGTGGACGACACGTCGTTCGACTTTGACGCTTCATCGTCGCCAAACCGTAGCAAGCACGAATGGCGCGTGCCTGGGGTCCTTGTCAACACCAACACGTTGGAGGACTTCAAAAATCTCGACAAGGTGCGCCTGCTCAACGATGCCAAAGCTCGTCTGCGCCATGCAATTGACGGGTTCAACCCCCTGGGCCTCCAAACGTTTGTCTTGTGCACGTTTGCCGACCTCAAGACCCACACGTACTGGTATCGGTTCGCGTTCCCCGCTGTGGTCCCATCGGCCGGCGCGTACCAGCTCCAGTACGTCCGTCCATATTCTTTCGTGCAGTGTATATGTTCGACTTGTAATGCAAATTATTGTTTGTGTGTAGGACGTGGACACCTGCCAACTCGTTCTTGTCACTACCGCACCAGCAATCCATCGTGCGCCAGCTCGTTAACCGGCGCCACGTGCATGACGAAGTCACGAGCGCCAATTTCCCCGCCGCATTTATCTTCGACCTAACGTCCAGCACGGTGCATGACCTAGAAGACCTCCGCTCGCTGAGTCCCCCGTCCGCCCTCGTGTTTGGGTTCGTTGATCCAAGTGGACTCCCGACCAATCCAGGATGGCCCCTCCGCAACTTTCTCATATGGATATCGCAGCATTGCCCCACCTTGGTATTGTCGATTTACCTAGAATTTTTTGGCCTTGTGTGTGCGTCTATATTGGCCAAACCCATCGATCGTACTTGTTTTGTACTAAATTCACGGTGTAAAAAGTTGTTTTGTCCTGTGATGTTCAAGCCAAACACACACGAATTCGTTCGATATTGATGATATGATTTCCTGCGATTTCTGGTTGGCTTACTATTTTCACCGATTCGTCTGGAATTCAATTATTATTATTTGTGTCGATTCATTATCGTCCATGTCGCTCCTGTGTAGAATATAAACACTAATATTGTGCATATATTCACCCAAATTTGGACTTGAGAGTCATTTCGACAAATAGATTTCGAATCCATTTGATCCTATTTAATCTTGTACACCACTATACTTTACAACGATTAATATAAATGTGGTTTTGCCCAATAAGGAGGAGGGGTCAAACGTTTGGCAGAAATTCGACGTGATTTGATTGGCTCAGGCGGTTCTTTAATCGATTCTCTGAAAACATTCGATTCTGCTGAGGGATCCAGTTTCGAATCTATTTGACAATATATGTGTGGTTTACTAGGCGTCAGGTTGTTGTTAGTTTGTATCCAGTATTGATTAGCTCTTTGTGGAATGTATGGAGTAGACGATGAAGAAGGATGGATGTGATGATAGTGGCGATTGAAATAGGTTGTGGGTTTGGCACTTGTACACTGTCGCATTATATATATATATAAATGGTTTCTTTACCAGAGTATTACATGGCGGTTATGCTTTGAGCCATATACAATTTGTGAAACAACGCACACGGCTTTAACGCACACACACAAAGATGACGAGGCGTTTGATTGGCCATTTGATTTGTGTTTTGGCGCTTTTGATTGGTCGGTCGAGTATTGTCTGTTTCTATTCAACACCCTCCACTCCCAATCGTCGAGTCTACTTGACTCTAATAAATATATACATATAGACGTCTGCAGTCATCCTGGCATATCGCGACCCAGTCCATCACATATCCAACCCCCCAGAAGCCCACGATGACCCGTCGGCATCATTTGGCCTGCGCGCGTCATACATTGCCACCATTGAGCTAACTCCATACAACGAATTCACGTCCAAGGTCGTGGGCTGGGAACTGAACGTGCAAGGGAAAAGCGGCCCTCGGCAACTGCAGCTCGCGAACCTGCTGGATCCCCTCCAATTGGCCAAAACGTCGGTGGATTTAAACTTGAAATTGATGCGCTGGCGACAACTGCCCCACTTGGACTTGGACAAGCTCGCGCACACCAAGTGCTTGCTCTTGGGGGCTGGTAGGGTCATATTGTCCTTTTGTATTGTGCTTTCGAGTGAAATTTCGTGTTGGGTTTCTGGTTGGAATTTAAATCGATTTGATTGGCTACTTCAGATGAGCTCAAAATTATTAGCCAATCTAAACCTTCTCAATGAAATTCAACCAATCAGATCGATTGTGGATCGGTTTGGTCGGCGCGATTCGATTGCACCCCAAATTTATATCAAATCGACAATAATGGATTCTTCTTTTTCTTTCTGTTTTGCTCGTTTGTCAAATCCAACATCATCGTCCACGATCGGTGTTTCATTATGCAAAATACAAATTGGTGCTTTGTACTGCAGTTTTTTTGTAAAGTGTCCTGGGGTGATATATATATATATATCTCAAAAATTCAAGTACGAATTCAATGTGGAAGGGGTGATATATATATATATATATATATGATTGGCCACTGGATCTGTGGTATGTGTGTTCTTTAATGTTGGTCGATCGATTCTATCTCTTGGCCAATTTGGTTTGCTGGTTTTCATTCGATGGAGCACCATATAATATCTAAAATGTCGAATCCAAAGTACACTACTATTAGGACGTGTAGAATTTCATCCGAGTTGTGTGATTTTTTATTATATATATATATATATATATATATATATATTGATGGGTTGTTTTGCAGGCACATTGGGCTGTCACTTTGCGCGAAACTTGGTCGCGTGGGGCTTTCGCTCGCTTACGTTGGTCGACTATGGCAAAATCAGCCATTCGAATCCGGTGCGCCAGCCGTTGTACGAGTTTGGAGACGTTGGCGAGTGGAAGGCGCCGACGGCAGCCAAGGCGCTCAAGGTGATGTATTATATGTATCACCTTCAATAAAAATATATTTTTATTATATATAAATATTATTTTTGATTGAAAAATATGAAGGTCATGAACTGAAACATGTACAATTGTAGCGCATTTATCCGTTGGTCGAGTGCGAAGGACATGTGCTGTCGATTCCCATGGCAGGGCATGCTCTCAGCAACCCTCAAGCGCTCGAGGTGAGTGGTACCAGTTGGTGATATTGTCTATTTTTACCCATAATTTAGCCTTATGTACTGATTCACCTATCGATCGATCCTATGTATTGTGCATTTCACCCAAAAAAATTTTTTTGGACTTGCAAGTCATTTCACCAAATAGCATTCGAATCCACTTGACCTCATTTAAGCTTGAACAAAGTATACTATACAACGATTAGTATATATGTGGTTTTGCCCAATACGGAGGGACTGGCCCGAATCAAACGTGTTTGGATTAGCAGAACTTCACTAAAACGTGATGATTTGATTGGCTTAGGCGGTTCTTTCATTCATTCTCTACTAAGACATTCGATTGTGCTGAGGGCTCCAGTTTCGCATCGATGAGACAATACTGCATTTTGTATATATACAGATGTCTTGTGGTCACACTAATTCAAGTCACACACTAATTCGATGACGACGATGGTGGTTTCATGCAATCTGATCTTGGCTCAATCCTTCTGTATTACATTTGGTTCATTCATTCATGTCGCATCTCCAGTTTCAAGAATATATCATTAAATACCAATCTGTGGAAACTAACATATTTAAATATATTATTGTTTTGAATTAGGAAACAAAATCGGCGTACCAAGAGTTGGAACGTATGATTATTAGCCAGGATGTGATTTTTCTTGGCACCGACACCCGCGAAAGCCGATGGCTGCCGACGGTGTTGGCCGCCGCGCACCAGAAACTCGTCATCAACGCCGCCTTGGGTGGGTCCATTTTAAATATATATATGGTGTCCTACGTAATAAAATGAAATATTTTTTGATACCCCCACTCACGAATACATGACGTTTAGGCTTTGACACGTACTTGGTGATGCGCCACGGAGTTCCCGTACGTGATGGAAAAGGTGATTGCTGTGTATATGAGACATCGTACCTGGGATAGGACGTGGTGGATTTAGGCTGCTACTTTTGCAATGACATTGTCAGTCCCACAGACTCGTTGACTGATCGAACCCTCGATCAAATGTGTACGGTCACTCGGCCCGGAGGGGCGGCCATCGCAGGTAATTTTGTCCATTTACCCATAAATTTGGCGTTTTGTGCTGATTTGCCAAATTGATCGATCGATTCTTTGAATTTTGAAAGTACAGAATTTTTCTGTGGGGAGGCCATTCACATTAATTCACAGTCTGTAAAGTCGTACACTAATTCGATGTTGAACCTGGTTTCATGCAATTTTATTGGCCCAATTCTTCTGCCCAATTGGTTGTGTCGATTATGTCGGTCCAGTTTAGAATAAACTCAACACTATAGTATATGAGCCCATTGCTGTTTCCTTTATAAAACGAACACTGTAGTTTTAGCGGATACTATATTTATTTATTTTTCTATTTCTTCGCAGGCTCTACTGCGGTGGAATTGCTCGTGTGTTTGCTGCATCACGCGGATGGACTTGGGGCGTCTGCCTCTGCGCAGACGACTGACTTGGGCGTCGCACCGCACCAAATTCGAGGCTCCCTAAATACGTTTTCGCAGGTACAAACAATACTATTTATTAGTGGCGGTGGGTTATCAGGATATGAAAAATAATATTTTATTTTGAATAGATTTTGGTCCAAGGCCCAATGTTTCATCAATGCACGGCGTGTAGCCCGTCAGTGTTGAATGCGTATCGCACCGATGGATGGGATATGTTTGTCAACGTGTGCAACTCCAAGTCGTATTTGCAAGGTATATATATATATATATATATAATCGAATGTGTATTTAATTGTTATTTTGTTGTGTCTAGACTTGACGGGATTGGCAGCGCTCGCGGCCAGAACGGACGCCTTGTCCTTTGACGATGACAGCGACGACGACGACAGTCTGCTGTAATTCTGTGGAGGACTTTGTGTGGCGGGTCGAATAGTTATGACTGCGATAAGGTCGCAAAATTAATAAATCCACAATTATATATATATATATATATATATATATATATACAAACACACAATTGTATGTCGTAAATGTGTCGGGAAAGGCATTGTTACGATAAATAAATGTGCTACAGTAAAAAGACGAGCTTTACGGCATAAGTACTACACACGAATCGAACGACGTCGTGCATCGGCACACGTGGAAAAATCATATATGTACAAAACCTCTAATATATATATATATACACCATGCAAAAACACCCCAACACTTGCAATGGAGGGCCGACCACGGTACATATGTACATACATGCTATACCAACAGATTCCATGAATGCTATTACTATACAGGGCAAGCATGCATAGCCAGTCCACTTATGCTTTTAAGTGCTCCAAAGTAGGTCTAACGATAGTGTGGGAGGTCCAGCTCAGAATAGATCGATAATGAAAGTATTATTTTCATTGAAGTGTGTTGTGTGTCGAGCGGTTACATGTGCGGAGACCACTTGTGGCAGTAGTTGCGGACGTCGTCAACGCCGCGGATTTCGGTGAGGAAGGTTGTGATCGAGTCCAATTCGCGGTCGTCCATGTCATCGATGAACGACGAGCACCCGATGGCGTTGCGGGGGTGGAAGAGGTAGCTCATGGGGGAATTGTCGATGATGATGCTTTGGTTGATGTCTCGGTCGATAAGGGACAGGTCCTTGACGTAGCTACCTTCGTAGTGCACGCAGTGTTCTCGAAAGAGACGGAACCGAATGACTTTGTGGGTGTCCAGTTGGTCCAGCAATGGATCGGCGTACTAATAGTACAACATATATAACCGTTGTTAGGTGTTTTCAATTGGTAGGATGACCAAGGGGGGGAGTACCTTGCTCAAACTGGCCGTGTAGACGACAATCTCGTAGAACTCTGCCATTTTGCGCATGAACTCGTCGACGCCGGGCCGCTTGGCCACGTACACTTGGTGGACATGGCCTTCAATCTCCACTGGGATGACGTAGTCTGGGTTGGGAATGGGCTAAACATGCAATCAATCAGTGAGCCCACGTTTGAACGACAATAAAAATAAACATCATCTAGTCTTACCTTGAACGAGCTGTGGACGAGGGTTTCATCCAAATCGAGCACAAGACACTTCTTGCCTTCGTCGCCAGGGAACGGCGTCGACATGATCCGGCGGACCTCTTGGCCCTGCCGCGTTTCGACTTGCTTTTCATGCTGCGACGGCTGCTTTCGGTATTGCATGTGTTGTTGTTGCTGTTGCTGCGCGAGTTGCTGCTGTTGTTGTTCGGCCAAGCCCAAACATGAGCAAATGTTGGCAAACAGTTTGGAAATGCCGCCGGGTTGTTGTGGGTTTCGCGTGTCGATAGACGACGTCGTGGGCTTGACTTTGAGCGCGTCCTGGTGGGGGTGGGGGCTATGTTTGCCGTGGCGATCGGTCTGGTGCACGAGGCTCGCGAGGGGGGACGGCGGCTGGGCCGACGGTTCTTGGTCGCGGAGCTTTCGCTTGAAAGCGTCTGTGATTTCGCCGTCGGGACCGTGCTGCGTTGTTTTGCGGGAGAATACGACCGTTTGGAACGCTAGCAGACAAGTTGTGGTTAGTGTCGTTATGCATCATCCAAAAGCAAAGTGATGCCATTGGTCTCGATGGTCATGGATGGGTCGTGGAGGTAAGGAGAGAAGGAGACTTGGTATATATATATATAGGTACTGGGTGATTGACGGCTGGCTGTGTCGCTGCCGCGAGGCGAGTTGAAGTGCGACTGCTGCGGTCCTGCCGCCGACAGTTGCGACGTCTGGATCTGGGCGGGCGCGAGACTGACGTTGGAGGTCATGATCATGCGTGGAGGGAATATGGTGGTGCTCTCGGTGGGGACAAGTGCAGTTGTGACGACTGTGTCGGGCAATTGCAACTCTGATCCATCTTGGTTCCGCACCATCCCACCAGCCCTATTCTTGTCGTCGATCTTGTGGCTGCTATTTATAGACCAAGGTTGCCATTCGTCGAAAGGTTTTGCTGTTTTAATTTGGATTGGTGGAGAAGAAATGTTTTAAACCAATCATACAACGACGTTGACAACGCTGAAACGGCAAGGAATTACTGCACACGAATCTGTTGACTGAAACCAGGAGACAGCCTGTAACGCCTCTTATACACAGGGCTATTCAGCCCCACTGGGAGTCCAGGGACTATTTAGTGTGGAAGGAGCTTCATCACCCCTACATACAAGCATTGAAACACGAAGTGTTTGTCAAGTGAAATGAATAATGTCATCCAATATTGCACTTGGAAACTAACTTTACATTCCGGAATTGCAATCTCCGTCAACGTGTAACAAACAAATGAGCAACACTTGACCGTTGTAACGCTAAAGCAAGAAGGCAGCATGGGGTTTCAATTGTTCATCAGAGTCCTTGAAATTAGCAGCGCTCGATGTATATCGTGAGCAAGGAGTTTAGGCAACTAACTATGCCATTATTGAGCGACACACAGAAGTATTAATACTTCGAAGTAGAATATAACACCTTTTCATTTAACGTGACATTCACCGTACTGTACGTAGGATTGGTTAAGGGAACAGTTTATACTTGTGTGATTGAAATGATAATATAGTTATCCTTCAAACCCCCAAACCCCAGCGATCTTTTTAGTCATCCGGAGTTTTCATTGAATATCCGGATATATGTTGTCAAGTTGGAATGTTGGTTGACTTGTACCTTACCAAACCTTAGTGAAGCAGAGTGTTGGTCATATTCCAACAGGCACAAGCATGAATGTGGCCGCGGCACCAAGCACGATGGATCCGAGCGGCAGTCCACCGAATGGGCGATACGAGTACCTCTTGCAGCAAGTCGTACAGCTCAACACAGACCTACACAAAACTGTCGCATTGAGCCAATCGTTAAAGTCTGAGCGGGACTCGCTGCAAGAGCTCACACAGAGGGTTCGTACGAACGCCCAACCCTCCATACATCATCACACGAACGATCTTGTAGCTAAAGCAAGACGTGATGCGGTGCGAAGAAAGGTGCGAGAAGATGCAGGAAGTGTTGATGACCGAGACCGAGTACAAGGTCCAGTCCGACCGCAAGCACGAAGCGCTGATGCACAAGTGGAAACAGCAGCTCGAGATCAAAGCTAGGGAGTTCGAAGTGCTGCAGAAGAACCTTGCGCCGCCGAAAGATCTAGACCAGCTGCGACTTGCCATCCAGGACGAGGTCGAGCTCCCACACCGCCAGCGGGTGGGTACTACTACTCTCTTCACCGCGGAGCTCGTCATATCCTGGACACGTAGACCCAAGGCCTCCAGCTAGAAATCGACAAATACCGCGAAATGTATTACTCGGTGCGCCGGGACTTCGAGATTCTCAAAACCGAGCACGACCAGACAATCATCAACCACGTGCGAACACACGACAAGTACTATCGTCGGTTCGTAAACTGTGGTTAGGGCCACGAGATCGAAAGCACTATCGCAACACATATGGTGCTCATGAACGACTTAAAGCGGCAGCTGGACGCCGCCGACGACCGCGCCGCCGACATGCACACAACCGACAAGCTCCGACGCATGGAACTTGACAAGGACACGTTGGTGACAGAGAACCATAAACTTCGCCAAGAGTTGGAGGTATGTACTATAAATAGGATGATGATGCGAAAAGGTGGATGGATATACATAATAGTATTATTGTCCTGGTATTCACAATATTATTTGGACTTGGGCCTACTCCATCGATGGATCGATCATCAATTGGTGATTGACCGTTTGTATTGTATGTTTTGGTGGAATATCATCGAAATAAGGTATAAAACGAAGTCTAAGACGTACCTTTGTGAAAATGCAAAATTCATTATATTTAGCCAATCAAAATGCAACCTTCATTTGTTTTTTAGCCAATCAAAATGCTAACTTCTTTTGTTTTTTAGCCAATCAAAATGCAACTTTCATTCGATTTAGCCAATCAAAATGCAACCTTCATTCGTGTTTTAGCTCATGATACTGCGTTCTTCGATTTCGCGGCAAAGATGATATGAAAACATCAACAAGAACGGCGTCGTGATGTAATCAAATAAGATGCCCAGTGGTGATTGATGATGTCCATCACACTAATTAAAGTCTCGTCATACTCCCCTTTTACTTGGTTGTTGATTTGTTGAACGGACGATTTCCTGCAATAATCTGATTGGCGTTCCAAACTAATTATATCCAAGTTGGGTTGATTTTGATTCAATTTTGCAGCATGTTCGGCAAGCAAAAGTGGATCTATTCCAGCGACAAGAAGCAGACGCGACCAAGTTTGCTACTCAGATGACGGATGTGCTGGGAAAACTCACGAATGTCGACTTGGAACTCAAAGCCACGGCTCGGCAGGTACGTTCATAACGTTCTTTGAGTCGATTATGATTGAAATAATTGAGTCGATTACTATGGTATTCTCTCCGTAGTAGTATAATTTAACCTGCGAAAAACAAAACAAATGGAAGGTTTGTCAAGCCGATTACTACTATTACATAGTATACTGTAGCAGTAATGACATACTAGTTAAATGGTGCGTATATATTGTATTTTGAATGTTAAGTCATCTTGTAGTGTGGCAAAAATCTTGCCCTGTTGGTCTGTTTACGCCCTTGGCAATATATCTTGCTTTTTATCCCATTTTCCCGTGTATTTTCGAGATTTTCGTGTGTCCAATACAATAGGGCGAAAATAAATAATATACAATTTGATTGGTGGTAGCTTGGGCGGTGTAAACAAGACTGCGAACGACTGCAGGGTGTAGTGGATGAGAAAGACAAGAAGCTACGGGAAGCAACCGACGACGCCATGCGACTGCGGGAGCAAGTGAAGCAAAAGGACTTGTTGCTGGTAGACAATCACAATCTCCACAGCTCCAAGTAAACAACGCCGCCAATGGAAGAACGAGAATTTTTTATATTTATTCTCGGGATGTATAGATTGAGGGAGTTGCGGGCCGAGCTCGAGGCTGACAAGGTGCAGTTTAAGCAAAAACAAGTGGACTGGATGGACCAAATCGCGAGCCTGCAGTTGGCTCTACAGCAGTCGGAAGAGACCTTTCAGAAACGGGAAAAGGAATGGCACCTCGAACAAGCCAAGCAGGTGGCTTTGCAGTCCCACGGCGATACGCATACGCAGCACACGACCGCCGCGCTACAAGCCAAGGTTTGTTTGGTCGATATTGTCGGTTCAGCCAAAATGTGGAGTTTTATGCTGATGTGCCAAATCCATCGATCAATTTTTTTTTTTTGTTCTGAGTTTTGTATGTATAATAGTGTCCGCCGGTAATACCCATCACACGGATTGAAGTCACACACTCATGAATTGTTTTATTGGTTTGAGCCGATGATTTCCTGAAATCATCTGATTGGCTGAATTCTGCCGTTTATTCTGCACATATTATTCCCCCACCTTTGGTTGTGTCGATACATTCGGCACGTCGCTCCAGTTTTGAATAAACAAAATAATATGTAGTTTTATATGCAGTTATTTCATATATTGTGTGTTGTACTCAAAATAATTTTCGTCGGTTGGTTCAGTGAATCGCCGGATCTTTGATATATATTATTTAAAAACGAATTTTACGAGGAATTTTTTGTGCTTTTCATTCTTTTAGGCCCATCCAGAATCATGCAGTCTTCATTCTTTTTAGCCAAACATCAGACTGCTTTATTCGATTAGTTGGCAATTTCGAGAATCACCCGAAATAGGCCATTTTTTTGTGTGAAAAGAACACACAATACATGGATGTCTGTGGTGAAAAAAAAAATAGCTGGCCGAAAAGACCGCTGAAGCTGCGACCCTGCAAGAAACCCTTGACGGCTGCACCCAGAGAGCTACCCATGCCTTGGACCAAGAACAGCTCAAAGTCCATCGATTGCAAGGGGAAAAGGATTCCCTCAGCGCTAAACTCACCACTGCACAGGAACTGGTAGTGCCCGTTTACCTAAACTTTGGACTCTATTGTGCTGTTTACCGAATCCACCGATCGATTTTTTGTACTGAATTTTATGTTTAAAAACATGTCGAGGGGTGATGATGTAGATACCACAAATTTCAGTAGTCGTTACACACTAAATAAGTTGTTAATTGGTTGATCTGGTGATTTTCTGCAAATTTTGATTGGCTCAATGCATCTGCCGATTCTTCTGTACATTATTTGTGTCGATATATTCGGTGCGGTTCTGCTTGCTTCCAGTTTAGAATAAACTCAACAATATGCTCCTCGGAAAATATTGCAAAACGACATGTACGTCATATTGGACTAGGTGACCAAATTGAAGGCGGAAAACTTGTCGTGGCGGTCCCAACTCAAGGAAGTGGAGCAGGAGTACCGGGTTTTGCAAGGCAAATACCGGTACAAAACCCAATAAAACTAGTTTTTAGGATTTAAACCTGTACTAGTACTTCGAAGTATACATTTTACAAGGTCTTTCGTATCGAATATGTGGATTGATATTATGGGAATTATTCGTAGCGATGCTATGCAAAACCAGCAGGATCTACAAAGCCAGCTGGACCAAGACAAAGCCAAGGTTCGTGGCCTATCGAGGACTTTATATTTTTTTGTGAATGTGTCGGCTTTGAACGATATTTAGCAAACAAGTCGGTGTTAAAGTAAGGGTGTGCCTGGATCACACAACCCAAGTTTTGCCCAATTAATATTTGGTTCGAAGTAATTTGACGAGTTTGGTTGTCCCTGAATAAATCTGATTTCGAAAAAACCTCGACGAATCTCAACCACTTTATTTTATTTTCGGCAAAACACATGATACAGAGTTTGGCAAAATATTGAATCCTCCCAACAATTTTGGATCTAGACAGAGATCTTTTCAGTTTTTGCCGATTTGTGAGATAATTGCCTTTGCCTTTATTACTGTATTTGAGGCCTTTATTACTGTATTTGACATCTAGACTCACCCGAATTGATTATTCATATTTTTTTGGTCAAAGGGATATATTATATATATTTGTATATATTGCTCGGCAGCGTTGATACGGTGTGTTCCTTTGTTTTTAAATCGACATATCCATGCTCCAGAATAGTATTGCAGTCTCTATGTTTGAACGCAATGGAGTAGATTCAGTACCTAGAAGACGACCTAGTGAAGCTCACCGACGAGCGGACTAACGACAAGCAATCGTTTGAAAAGTCCCAAGCCCACCTCCAGGCACAACTGGACGAAACTCTGGCCGCGTCATTCAACGCCCGACGCAGTCTGGCGGACGAGCACAAGAAAGTTGCTGACAAACTGACGAAATCCCTCGTTAAAGCTGAACGAAAGCGCGATGCGTACAAGGAGAAGTGCTTGCAAGTGCACGAACGGTACAAAGCAGCGGCCATGGCCAAGGAAGCGGCGGCGGTGCAGTTGCAGCAACTCAAGGACCAGCACCATATCGAGATCCAGCAATTTCTTACCCAGTGGAGCCACGCCGAAGACTCTCGGTTGTCGGGCAGTATGCCTGGTAAACCTATGGTATGTTGGTCTTTATATATGACGTGGCAAATGATCTGATTGATTTTTCACTCTTTTTTTTCAGGACATGAAGCTGGATTCGTTCTTGGCCGAGATCGACCAGTACAACCAAATACACAGTCCGCGACTTAGTTGAAATAGTTTCATCATGAATCCTAAAGGGGTATTATACAATTGTTATTGTGATAATGTATATTGTCAAATCGATTCGAGACTGGAGTCTTCAGCAGAATCGAATGTCTTAGGAGAATCAAACCGCCTGAGCCAATCAAATCACGTCATGCCGAATTTCTGCCAATCCAAACGATTAACCCCTCCAAAATCACATATATCCTAATCGTTGTAATGTATAGTGCGTGCAAGATTAATTGGGATCAAATAGATTCGAAAGCTTGCGTTATTTGGCAAAATGACTCTCAAGTCCAAATTTGGGTGAAATGCACAATATCAGCAGATGACATAACTCGGCACGAAGAATATATATTGTCAAATCAATGTTGTAAGAGACTCAGTTAAAAAAACGCCTAAGCCAATCAACTCACGTTCTGTCGAATTTCTGCCAATCCAAATTTCAGCCAGATATACTACATTTTGTATGTTATAGTTAGTACAAGCTTAATATTTGGTCAAATGGATTCGAAAGCTAAATGGCGACATGAATCAAAAGTCCAACTTTGGGTGAAAAGCACAATATAGGCTCTGGTCCGTAATTCACAGTAAAACAGATTAACGGAAAGGTGCTGTGTATAATAAATACTGGTACTACTATATTACGTTTTCAGTATAACGTTACCGTTAGCAACGTTGAGGTCAGGAGGCAACAATATACATGTAGTCTTATGCAGTTTTGAGGAATTTAATGTTCCTGTTAGTGTATGTTTTTCTCGACGCATGCAGTTGGATTGTAAGACAGTTACGGCAGTTTCACTGCTGGATGCCCACCAAGACAGTTACGGCAGTTTCATGAGTGCCCTGCGCGTGGCCGTGGCGTTGGCGGTGACCACCCCAGTGCTGTCAACCGTCATTGGGGGGTCTGAACCTACTCGATGCACGTCGTGCTGGCAGCTCACACATTGCACGGCCCTCAATGGCCTCAGCTTGCCCGATCCAATAGTTGGGTATACTCGGTACACACAATACTTCTGCCACAACATTATCGCATTTCTCTTACACACGAGCTAGAAATGCGACGTCGCAGCTGGAGAAGCAAGGGGTGTGTGAAGACATTGATCACGCTGTGACGTTGCTGACTGTGTTTGGCGGCAAGTACCAGTATAAAGACACCTCTGCGTGCCGTGAATTGGTAGGTACATTCAATGTGCGTTCTGCGAAGGTTTTAAAGTCGAATACATTGGCGTACATATATGCATGTAGGTGTACACGCTGAACTGTTTGACGTGGGCGTCCCAGGATAATGCGTGCTTGAACGCTCCCATGCCGCCCTGTCGGTCGCTGTGCGTCCAAGTGGCCGACCAGTGTGTCTTTATGCACTCGTACAAGTTGTTTTTAACTCAAGTGTGCTCGGCCATTCCATGCACGGACAAACCCACGGGCACCTGCGTTCCAGGTTTGCGTTGTTGTGATTGTTCTTTGCAGTCAAAGAGGACTTTGTAGGACAAAACGAGCTTAACCCAGGGTTTAACCGATGCACCGTCCACGACGATTACTTGACGCTGCCGCTGTCGAAGGGACCTTCCTGGCTGCATACATTTCCAAGTACGGTTTATTGTTGTTGTTCGTGTTTCCATTACTGAATTTCGTCATCGTTTTGTGCTTGTTGGTGTGTGTAGCCTTCGTGGCGGGGCTGGCGCTGCTATGCCTGGTAATATAGATGTAATAATCACAGCTTGACCATATATTGACGGCTACTGTGAAGTGTCATACAGTGGAATTCTAAGTCGATACCTGCAACCTTTGTCTTAATCGCGTTGGCCTATCGTGGCCACTACTTAAAATTGGAACACTGTGTTCCAATTTAAGTGACATAGTGACATTGGGTGCAGCCAGCGTTGACCACAGCCCTTCGCACTAACGTCACTAAAGTTAGGTTGAAAGACTCTTGACTCATGAAGAATTGAGACCTGTACAACATGAAAATGCACTAACGATGGTTTGAGCTTACTGTTCTACAGCGTGCAAGCACTACGTGCCACGGTTGTCGTCGTCGCCGCCCTCAGCAATCGCATGGCTCAAATCGGGACAATCGATCGTTCGATGGGATTTGCTACTACAACAGTGACACCCGCTGAACTTGGGCGAGAGTACGACGGGTTTGTTGGACGTTGTGTCGAGGCGCTTGGGATGGTCATGCGCAAGGGCACCTCCACGCAAGGCCTTGTCAAGGCTATGAGACCAATTGGTAGCTTTGGCCGGCAATGCAACGTGTTCTTGTTGATTCATGTGGATTGCATAGGTTATGGCAAAGACAATTGAAAACACAATGCGAGCGTCTTCAAAATAGGTTCTTTCATATGCGTTTCAGGTCGCGACGTTTCACGGACCAATCAAATCCACGCATTTGTTCGAAACCGCTAAACCTCCTTGATTGAAACGAGCAAACACCCGTATTCAAGTCTCACGGCTTCTATATATAAAGCCACTTGATTGAAGGAATGTTATTACTGTAGTAGTCGACAACGCAAGGCACATCGCAAAGGGATTGTATGTAGCCTAGTTAGCTTACCTCCAATCCCACGGGACCGACTGTATGTATGCATGCGAGCACATGACACTCGCGGTGATTCCGTAGAGGCTAGGGACTTGTTTGCATTCAAGTAAAGGCTGGATCCGGCCACTCAGCCGCTCCACAATGCCACTGTAACACTTGGTAACATGTGAGCTCGACGACACAACACTGGAGTACGACTAGTACAGGGGGTGGTACTTTACTACAGGTACAGTATACAGTATACGGCAGGTTGATTGAAATTGGCGGGATTTCACGACACAGACATGATACGCTTCAACGTTTGAACGTTCAAAAAGTACTACTAGTATCACCGAGAATATACAGTACAGTAAAACAGTACCATTAATTTTCTCAGAAAACACTGCAGTGTTTATATGGAACTTAGTATACTCGGACCAACTCACCTCGTACCTACGGGCTAAGTGCATCTCAATAGATAGCGATATCTAACCACTGGTGATGCAGTTAACCCCGGAGATTTAGCGTCGCACGTGTACTCAACGGAGTCCGGCTAAACGAGTGTATCCGGATGGGTGTAATTCTCCGCACGGACTCAGTATTTCGGGTAAAAAAACAGTGATACTGTTTTTATTGACGGATTATTCTGCAATGTAGGAAAAAGATCGAGAAACTGTACAGTAAAGTTTGGGAATATTAACCCTCTCAAATGAATATAGTATGAAATGTGGGAGGGCGTTAGGATTCTTCGACGGATTGCACAAACACAGCAGATAGAAGACTTGGCCGCGCTTTGAGATGTATGTATACTTGGCCATTCCCAAAGGGTGTGGATGCCGCTGAATGTGTAGCACATGGGAAGGACAAGGAACCTCTTTCAGGTGGTACATGAATCCCGAAGCAGCAACTGTTCGAATGAGGACATTTGAGCTCAATGAGCATGATGTGACCATGGTGACAGTACTTTTACGATACCATGGGGTCGAGAAAAGAATACTACGTAGTAATGCGCACGGAATGTGCGGCTTGATCTCATTAACATTAACTATTACCCTAGAATAAATATACATACACACGCGCCTGTCTGTCCAAATCGTGGACGGAGGTCTTGCTGCCTACTGAAGCGTCATGCGCTCTGGTATCGTGGTTGGTATGATCTTTCTGCCCAAGGGGGATGCCCACTCGGCGTCGTGCTGGCATTCGCGCATGATGTGTGTGCGGTGGAGCTCCTTCTGGAGGTAACTCAGCGACGGTTGATCGTCGGCGTCGTCGTCGCCCAACAGTACGCAATCGATCGTGATGTGGTCGTATTCTCCGCAATTGCCGCAACGCACGTTGTCTTTCTTCGTTGAACGGCACGGCGTGGTACCCAAAAAGTCACCGCAGCCGTTGTACTCCAGTGGACCGCGTCGGAAGACAGCGCCACGTACTTGCAAGTCGGACAGCGATCGGTTCCGAGGAATGCAGGTTTCACGAGCTAGGTACTCTTTTTTTTCCACGAAGGACTGCGCACGGAGGATGGGGCGGAGTTCGTTCGTCATGTCGTCGTCCTTCAGGTAGTGCTGTTGCATGATCAGGTGCATGTACCTTGGAAAATTATGTTATGACACCACTTTATGTTGTCATTGCATGATGACAGAAACGGGTTCAATTATACCTTCTTATGTCATTTAGATTTCTTAGCCGCCAAAGTTTCCACCGTCTGAATCTGTCAACGTTAAATACGTTTAATGCGTTTTTCTTTTTCGGAAAAAGTTACAGTAAAGCTACTTGCGTACAAGCGAACACGTCTCTTGCCTTCCGAGGTGGACGAAGGGCGTTCACGACAGCACGCATCGTTGAAAGTGTCAACTCGCATTTCCTGAAGGATATAGTTAGCGCACATCGTTGGAATTTGTCGACTCCTATGTCCTTATGGGAAATTTGCGTTTTATTCGATACTGGAACTTTACCTCCTAGGTTTAGCGTATCTGTATCTCTAGCTCCTTCCGAAAATGAGAAAGGTTTGACTTTCCTCTCCCTTGGCCTTGTCAACTTGACTGGGCTAACTGTTAACCCAAGGACATTCACGAACGTTATGCATAATCTTAACCCCCACAACAACAAAGCACTACAAATAGAGTCTTTAACATGACGCTTTGTGGAAACTATAATTGCCCCCAAGTACCAAGCGTCAAAAGCTCACCTTCTTCCTTCGACCGACCACATGAAAGTTCTGGCATCGACTGAACAGGATTAGCTAGAACGTTTTGGAATGAGCCAATTGGCGTGGAGTATGACAGATGACGACGGCGCGTAAGTTACCGATCTCGGCTACGGAACGGCCAACGGTTACACGGGATGATGAAGAACTGATTGCATGACGCCGAGGCCGCGGCAATGGCGATCGCCGAGGAACGAGGGGACCATTGTGCCACGAGGACAGGAATCTTTGGTACGAGTATGGGCAAGATGACGTATCGGGTACCGACAACGCACGTCACTTGGGACAGGGGGTCGAGCAGGTGGTGAGTTTTGTGGCAGAGAAATTCTCCAACAGCAGGTAGTTACTACTACCTGCTGGCTGGAGATTGAAAACTACCTGTTCTTGGGGAATACCGAATTAACTGATAATCGTCCAGACAACAAAGTCTTCTTTGCACAGATAAGACGCACGATCAAGTCACCGTACTCATACGTAGACAAGTAGCCCTGTAACCTGGGACTCCGTACCTAACCCCGGTGGGCACGTGTACCGTACGTGTATTTCATGCGTTTTTTGCATCCCAGTGGTTAGCTACTTGACGTTAAAGCCTTGCCGAAATGTGTTGTGAAGTCCACTGTACTTATCTGTGCAATAACCAGGACAATTGTCCGTTAGTTAATTCGATATTCCCCGAGAAAAGGTAGTTTTCGACCTCCAGCAGCGCCATACGGTAGTAACTACCTCGTACCAGGAAATTCCTCTCCGTGACACCTACTCCTACGAGTACATATTAACTGAAGCGCGCGTCTGTGATACCTGTAGGATGAAAGGAGGATGAGTTAAAAGATTTTGATTTTGGAAGGACTGTTCGTGTGTTGTGTTGGTACAGTATTGGATTGGGGAAACGCCTGAGAACCGTGCGACGATGACAAAACTCTACTGCTTGTTACAGTATCATGACAGAGCTTTTCGAAGGCAGGTGGCAGATCTCCACGACGGACAGGCGGGCCTTTGTAGTAACGTTACCGACTTCCGCATTTCACAGCGCGACGACTTTTCCAGGTAGACACCAGACACCCTCCCATCAACACATATATTCGCCAAATCCTGGACGAATAAATTCTTATAGGACTGAACGCCAAGAATACACTCCTATTATATCTCTAATATATCCTCCCTAATATTATATTCATGGTACAGTACAGTACTGCCCAATTCCATAAACGAATTCGCTCAATAGCCATTGTGCTAAGCACGCCACTACAGTAGCGCTCTAGTTGATGGCTTCAATTCTCACACCAAGATACGTATAGGTGCTCTGTTGCACGATTGTAATTCAGTCTGGGTTGAATTGGTCAGCACATGTATTGACACGGCAACCGTATCCGGATACGTGTAATTCTTTGAAGACAGAACTGGCTCGCTTGTTTCTCTTTGTATTACTGTATTGTCATTTTACCGAAAGTTTGGACTTTGTTCTGATTCGACAAATCTATCGATCGATTCTTTGTCCTGACTTTTGTATGTAGAGATCGTCCAATATCACACTAATTTAAGTCACACACTAATTCCGTGTTGAATTCCTCGAAGAGTGGTTTTGATTGGCCACTTGATAAGTGTTCTGGGTTTTGATTGGTCGATCGATTATCTGCCGATTTGGTGTTGCTCATTCGAGTCATTCGTGAGCACCCCACTCCAATTTCGAATCGACTTGACAATACTAGCTAGTACTAATTGCAGCTTCACAGTAGTAGTATGCAGGTATACTGTAATTCATGGTCGAGGGTGGAATATGCAAATCATATATTCGACGACGCCGTCAAACTTCCCCAACACCGAGTTGGGATATTCACTGCCATTAGCCACATCTTGGAATGAAATTCAACCATAAATTCGATTTGATACAAATTTGGGGAGGGGGTGTACCGATCCACAATCGATCTGATTGGTTGAATTTCATTGAGAAGGTTTTGATTGGCTAATAATTTGGAGCTCATCTGAGGTAGCCAATTAAATCGATTTAAATTCCAACGAGAAACCACGCCACAACATGAAATTTCACTCGAAAGCACAATATTATTCGCGGTGTTGCTAATCCTGTGAACTCTGTAGAATTTCACACAAGGAAATTATTTCGAGGATATTACTTGTGAGCTCATCACAAGGAAGTGTTCACAAGGAAATTCCCGTTTGAAGCGTTTGTCGAAGTGCAATCAATCATTGCAACAAATAAAAAAAGTTCATTACGAGGTCGCAGGAGAATCGGAAACTACAGGCGAAGCGGGCCGACTGCCATTGTCGGACTTGACGAGCAGCAGCTTCAGTGCCTCCGTGGATGGCACCAGGTCGGCGGTGACGAGGTCAACAACGCAAGCGACGAGGTCGTCGTGACCAGAAGGACTCGAGAACTTGGCCACGCACGACTCAACCACAGAGGCAGGGACGAAAATGCTGCGGGTTATCGCATGGCGAAGGAGGGTGACGGTGTCTGCGGAGGTGGGGGCGGCGATCAGCATTGCTTCAAGAAGCGAAGCTAGAAGGAGGTGACGTTGCAGTGGGTGGGACGAGAAGAATTCACTTACCGGTACGCAGGTCGGCGTGTGCATGTTCAGAGGCGAGTAGTCGATGGAAGAGGTCCATTACCCGACTTGGTTCTTGACGAATAAGCACGTCCACGAGTAGTTTCGACGTGGTAGCATCACCTTCGTCGAGTCGTTGTCCAACCTGGTCGATAGATTGAATCGTCAGATGGAGGCGTCGATGGCCGGGAGAGTCGAGTTCTCCTTCCGCCTGTAGCAGCAGCGCATGCAATGCTGTGGCCACATTGAATTCGCCGTGGAGTAGCGCTATGTGCGTAGCATCGAACAGCAGCGCCGTGGACGTCGACGTGGCAAGTCCATGTTGGAGGACAACGAGATAGCGGCGTGCCCAGTCCAGGGCTGCATGAGGCTGTTCGAGTCCCATCGCAAGCACCGCATCATGAACGCGGACATGGTGACGGATGGCATGCTCGATGACAGCGTCTATGGCGTCCTTGCGTGCCCCTTGCTTGAGGATGGCCAATGCTACAAACGATGCCACATTATGGACAGTTACATACTTTCACAGAACGCTACCAATGTCTTGCAGTAGCCGCGGCGGCAGGACGAGGTCATGCTTGTCCATCAATTGAAAGATGTGCCAGGCATAGTGTCGGTCCTGGTGGTCGTAGAAGTGCACAAGACTCTCGTACAATGCTTGCCGAGTCGCAGCTACATGAATATCATCATCCTCCTGCAAGTGTCGAAAGTGGGAAGAGCAACCACATACGTGATACGTCGGAACGACCGTGGAAGATGGAGAGAAGGGGCTTGTGTGCAGGGCTTTGGATGGCATTCCGAGGTAGCAATTGAAGGCAAGCGGCTGCGACATCGTCCATGTCCCTTCGAAAGCAGGACGACATGATGGCATCGCCCAAGCCTGGATAGGTCAATGGTGTTACCAAACCAGCATCGCAACATTGCACAAACAACGCGGTCAACACATGCAGGTCGCGTTTATCGACGGCAGTGGCGCCATGGTCTTTGCCTTCTTCATGATCGACGAGAAAGAACTGATGGAATGCATCCGCGGCGACGGGGATGCGATGCTCCAACGCCATATGCAAGGCATGTACAACTCGCGGTCTGTCGTTCGACTGGACAAGGAACAAGAGCAGCTCGCGGAAGGCTGACGGAGGCGGCACCACGTTCAGGTCGTGGTATGCCGCAAGGAGAGGACCAGCGAGTTTACGCTGCTGTTTCAAGAAGAACCCAATCGTGCTTCGTTGGACATGGAATGCATCCTTCTTGAAGGCCAGTCGCTCAATGAGTGTCATCACCGTCTGCAAACTCCGCGGCGTCTCCTGCGTTGTCAGCTTGTACATTTCCATTGCAGACTTGAACTCTCCATCCAACAAGTGATGCTGAAGCTTCTGAGCATACACGTCGCCGGAAATAGCACTGCTGCTACTCCATCGTTGAAAGCCAGCTGTCCATCGCCCCACTACCGGTAGAGCAACGACCTTCCTCGTGCCCATGTCTGTGTTGCAAAAAATGACTCGTTCAATATGAGCCTCTGTGATTGGCTACAATGGTACACAATTGGCGAATCACAAGGCTCAAGCTATCCGGATATTGCTCCTCCAAAAACAAATGAAACCAACATGGATGGCAATCACTACGTACTAGTCGGCGTAAAAGACAACGATTACATGTCGTTGCAGTTAGCACAGTCTCATTGTGTTGAGTGAAGAAATCGAATGTTGCTCCAATGATACAGGTACGAGTCTTTGACATGGCTACAGTACACACAGTGTTGTCGAAGTTAGGAAAAATGAAAAGCCAGTGGTAGTATCCGGATGTGAAATCCTTTCAAAGCTAATACTTTCCAAAGATCTCAACTCTGTGTCGCTTCATCATCCGCCGATTAGCAAGTGTCATGTGGAGTCGTAGCGTATTTGCACTTGTGGGTACCGCGGTGGCGCTGGTGTCTGCCCAAGTACAAGAGATCGATATCTTACCTTTGCTGCCGTTCCGGCCTTACCATCTTCCTCGCATGCGATGGACGGACCTCAATCGAGTACTCGGCGAACAAGCCAGCGAAAAGATGATTGTGAGCAAGCCAATGGACACCATGTTGGGCAAGATCAATGTCCCCAAGGAAGACCAGAAAGCATTCAATGCGTTGTCGGCCATGGAAGTCAAGAGTTTACACGGTGACGCCGAATTCGTGGACGAAAAACAAGTGTGGATCGCGTTCGACTTGATCCACGAAGGCGACATTCCGTCTGCGATCGAGTTGTTGGACCAGGTAAAGGAACAAGCATCGCGACAGTTCGGGACCAAGCACCCGCTGTACGCGAACGCACTCGCCGATCTCGGGTATGCGTACATGAAGCAGAAGGACTACATCAAGTCCAACTCGTTGCTCGTCGAAGCCATGGAGCTCGACGAAGGTAGCACGTTTCTCTCTTTGTCCATACTTAGCGCGCCAATAGAGCTCCAAGACAAGTTTGGCGTGTACAACACTGCCGCGTCCATCAACCTCATGGCCGCGTCGGCACTTGCGTCTGGCGCGGGCAACTTTAACGCGCTGAGCAATGCTTACGAGGCTGCATTCAACGCCTTGCACAAGGAATCGCATGCTTGTGCGTGTTTTACGCTTCATATTCTGGCATCTTTTTTTAAAGTTTTTCTTTGTGGTAGCGCAATTCGAAATCCTCATGAACTTGGCCAACATGTACAGACTCCACTGGCTGCCCCTTCGCTCGATCAACATGTTCAAGCTGGCCAAGCAATATGCACCGAATCCGTCTGTGAAGTACGCCGACTTGCTCGTCGGTCTCGGGGCCAGCTACATCATGGAGGGTGAATTCCAACAAGGACATCGCATCCTGTTGTCCGCCGTCGACATGTACTACATACGTTGTAAAACCTAGTTGGTTTCGCCCTAGTTTTCATTATGCATGTGTCCAGGTACGAATCGTTGGATCGACACTCGAGCCATGGCCATTTAGAAGCAACGTACTACTTGGCAACGTCCGAGTTGCTCCAGAAGAAGTATGGCGCCGCCTTAGCTCGGTTTCAAGCCGCCAGGAAAGCGCTGACCACGGAAACGTTTCCATGTGCAAAGGCCACCCTCATGACGTCTATCGGAGCCTGCATCGCCGCCATGGGCTACACAGACATGGCCATTGGAATGCTCGACGCAGCCAACGCCCTCTTGTCGTACGTGCATTTGTGTACTTTGACTCAAGGGAATGATGGGAATTAATATGGTAGTGCGCACGCCACGACATTGGAGAACGAACTGTTTGCGCCGTACATTCACTTAAAGATTGACCATTTGCTCGCGACGCTATGGGACCAAGACAAACAAGCGCCACACGCCAAGCAACAAAAACATGCGGCCGCCGCGTATGAAGCAGCTGTGACACTGTTTGGAGACACACATGCGTTGGCAGTGGCGCACAAAGTGGTGTAATACAAACCACACAAATACTAATAGTAGTAGTAATCGTGGGAGTAGTTAGTAGTCAAGTGCGTTAGCCCACTTCCTATTACTGTAGTACTACGTAGTATTACAGTAAGTTAGTGTCCACTAGTAGGAAGTAGTAGTAGTAATAGTAGTAGTAGTAGGAGTAGTCGTTACACGTGTGTTGGGAAGTGGACTACTCCCACCAGTAGACACAAACTTACTACCTAGTAGTACTACGTATCGGTAGTAGTAGTTACTAGAACGTAGCCGGTCAACTGAATGGATCATCGTCGTGAGAATTATTATACACTGGACGGATCGTCGTTGTGCTGGAGGTAGGCCATGGTAGTGTCGTACGCCCAGAACGTAATAGCCGCCCCAGGAATGCCTCTATCGTAGTTTAAAGTTAGTGTTTCAATCACAAACGAGGGAGGTATGATGGAGTTGAGAGGATGCATCATCATGGGGATGACGACAGTTTATGATGCAATACGAACGGAAATGGCAAGGAAATTTATATATATATATATATATGCATCATATCGCACCGGGAGAAAGCAGCCTGCCACCCGTGAAACACCCGGCCAATTCCATGCTGTCGAACTAGTTGGAGTCCCGTTCGAATCATACCGAGGGGTTGCTCCTGGTGCGAAGTTGACGGCGTTGAGACTTGAATGACTGTCTTGATCTACGTCAGTTAACGATATCAATTATTTGTTAGTGCCACAGAGGAGATAGTGATAGATGGTTCCAGTAGACTCTATTACGTCGCCATTCAAAAGAGCACAAGAGGGTAAGTTTAGGCTACCGTGTCAAAAGGTAATGCAATCGACCAAAAGGCAATCCCGCCCGTGGCACCTGCTACCAACACGCGAGACGTGGTATCCCATTCGCTGGGCAAGGCAGATCTACGATGGACATTTGACGGAAACTTGCGAGAAAATGGAGGGGGCAAGATGATGCTGTACTACTTGACGCAGTCGAACGCCATAAAGTAACACGCTACGCCCAGCGCATCTCGGGTGATGGTGCACGAGAGTCCCTTCCACAATGCCAATGGACCTACGCTAATGAGGAATGACACGGAGGAAATGAAGGCGGGAACCGCGTGCCTTCGTGCATGATGACTTGACGGACGACGTCGGCGGTGCCCTTGTACTTGGCATGCTGTTGTTGGATTTGAAGGCGGTTTCGTACGAGTTCAACGGGCGCGACAAGGAAAGCGTTGATACCGCTGATGGATCAAGAAGATGAGCGACGGAGAAAGATTCTGAAGCGACATAGTACCCTGCGATGGCCCCAGCGCACGTCGAAAGCAGCAGCGGCGACGGATGATCCATATGTGCCGACATGAACGAACGCACATGACCTTGGGCTGAGAAGATGACGGATTTATACACAGCTTGGGAGAAGAATGGAGGGAAGAATCCCTTGTACAGCCCGCGAAGGCCTTCGTGACGGAGCGTTGTGCAGACAACCGACGCGAACGAGGACGACGACGAGTACTGCAACCGCGTGCGGATGGTGTCCAAAGGATGACACACCACCACGCTAGACATGCCTGAGACAGACCCAGCAACGACGAGCTGCTGGAACGATGGCGGTGGCCGCGGCTTGAATGTCATCGTCATGACTCTTTGGAGTTTACACTCCTGCCACCTGAACAAAATGGACCAATCAAACGGGTGAAACGATCAAGGAACCAATCTGATCATTTAGAACCGGCTAAAATGATTTGATTGGCTGCTCAGTTCATTAATTAGTACAGTATATTATATTATAAGAATAGTATTAATCGTATACTACTACGTATTAATAGTACTACAGTAGTACGGTGTTAATTTAGTAGAGTACTTACTACTGGTATTCGGATGGAGTAGTACTACTACTCCATCCATATATGAGTGTAGTACTACTCATTGGTAGGCAAAACCACGTTTCCGGCATTCTAATTGGCTAATCATATTCAAACAGCAGCTCCCAACTCCCATTGGTTGCCCAAAAAATGTGAGCGTTCCTTGAATTATGGCCATGAGTGTACCTCATTGGCTAAAACTATACCAAATTTCAACTTGCCAAGTTTGGAACAGCGTCATGGCGAAATCGCGCTGGTTCCTTGGGTTGGCTGTCGTGATCGGGATCCTTGGGGTGTTCTGGCCTCAGATCGAAGAGATCCTCTTCAAGAGCTGTCCTATTACTTTCATGGGCTTGCGCGAGCCAAAGCCACGGTCGGCTTCATCAAAGCTTGATCCGACCCACGACGTCTCGCTAGCGCAACTCCCATTGTTCACGGTCGAGGAGCTTCAGCAATACGACGGCTCCGACGAATCGCGCCCGATCTACATGGCTGTTGGTGGCATTGTTCTGGACGTGACGAGCGGGGGCAAGTTTTACAAGAAGGGGGCCGAGTACAACCAATTCGCAGGCCAGGTAGCCTCGTTTCGTTGAGCAATGCTGACCGGGATGTCTAGGCGTGTACTCGAGCGTTGGCGTTAGCCTCACTCGATGTCAAGGACATCAACGACATCACATCCGACTTCACACCTGCTCAACAAAAGGATCTGGATGAAACCTTGACTTTCTACCACGGGAAATATCCAAAGGTTTGCTTCCTATTGGCACTCATGCGAATTTGACTGTGTATCGTTGCTTAGGTTGGTGTGTTGGCGGTCAAGCGCTTTCCAGAGAACACTTAAGTAATCTCAATACAATCGACATGCATACGTCCATTGTGCAGCATGCAAAACGACCTTTATAGCTGGGTCTTAATCATACTGGGCCAACAGAAGAATCTACAGTCTTTAGACTCTTGCTAAATGACTTATAACCAGCTCGATCGAATGCCATCTTCTCCTTGTTGCGTCGTCGGCTTGGTCGATGGGTCGCGGGGTTGCGGAATCGTTGACGGGCGGTAACGATAGACTTCACACACAAACACAATGACAACCGACAAGGCCACCGTTCCCACTGCTATCCCGAGAACGAGCCATGGACTGGTGGGAGGAAGCGGGGTGGCCACGGCTGTGGCATTGCTGCTGTTAGTGGCGTTGAGACTTGCTCGTCCGGTCTTGTTTTCGAGTGCGGACGTCTTGGTTTTGTTACTTCTGGTGGTCGAAGGGCAATACGTCACCATAAGCACTTCATTCAGTGGACAGTCGCGCGTGGGGTAGGTCGGGTCTGCCGAGTTTAGTGGCAGGCAATTGCTCCGCTGGTCCTTGGATACCAACGGTTCGACCAATGTGGGTGTTCCTACACATACATATATCGTTTGATATCGACACTGTCATCGAATAGTACAAGGCGGCACCTGTCCCTGCATGGAAATCAAACCAAATTTGCTGCCACGAATCCCCTGGCATGTGTTGCGTGTACTCCAACCCTACAGGTATACACATATAGAGTGATGCAATGAATGCACCCGACAACGTACTCAAGACCTCTCCACTGACTCGGAACGAGCCTTGGACAGGAAACGGACCTGCGCCGCAGTTATCGTCCTTGGACTCCCCTGGCTCCAGTCGACACGCGACGTAGTTGCCTTCGGTCCACACTTGAACGACGACAGCACATTCATTCGTGAACCGAAACTCCGCCGCCGTCACTGCTAGCGCCAAGTAGCAGACCACTAAACCCGTAAGGAATGCCATCGCGTTCGACGAAAATGCGATAATGGAACGCATCCTCGCAGAAGAAACCAACGACGCTTTCGTGTAAAATAGAGGACACGCGATTTTTCGAGTGTATACTTGAAGCACTTGTTTTTAAAGTGTGTTTACCTTGATATGATTGTGTTGAATGCACGAAGTTCGCATAGCGTTATCAGCACTTTAGAGGCGAATCACAAATAAGAAGGTATATATATATATGTGTACTCTATTTGGCGAGGGTTTAATCCTAGCTAGTTACAGCTGCTTGTCCAAGCTATACCCGCCTTCGGTGACGAGTTCAAAGAAGATGCCTGTGCCAGCGTGAACCAGCGCTGCGGGTGTGTCGTTCTGGACCAAATGACCTTGGTCAAACACGAGGATGCGGTCGCAGTCGAGCACCGTGTCGAGGCGATGGGCGATGGTGAGCACCGTGGAGGACGCAAACTCGGAGCGCACGACCTGCTGCAGGAGCTGGTCGGTGTCGTGGTCGATGGCTGCCGTGGCTTCGTCCAGGATGACGATCTTGGCCTGGCGCAACAAGGCGCGGGCCATGCACAGCATCTGGCGCTCGCCCACGCTAAAGTTCTCTCCGTTTTCTTCCACGGGTCCCAGCAGCTTGTCCGAGTCGGCGCCGATGCGACCATCCAGCTGCACCTTTTGCAACGCGAGCCACAGCTGGTCATCATCGTACTCGTCGAACGGGTCCAAGTAGTTGCGCAGTGTTCCTTTGAACAGGACGGGGTTCTGGGGGATGATGGCCAAGTGGCTGCGCAGGTTATGCAGGCCGACGTCGGCGATGTCGAGGCCGTCGATGCGGATGTGGCCGGCCGCGACGTCGTTCATGCGGAACAGCGACATCATCAAGCTGGACTTGCCCGCGCCCGTCCGTCCGACGATACCCACCTTTTCGCCCCCATTGACTGTGAAACTCACGTCTTTCAACACGAGGGGGTCCGTGGGTTTGTAGCGGTAGCTCACATTGTCAAACTGCACTTGGCCTTGGGACGGCCACGACGTCGACGCTTCGTCCAATGGCGTGTGCCGCTCGCCTTCTTTGGTCAGCCGGATGTACTCGTGCAGTCGCTCGGGGGCGATCAGCGCCGTCTCCATCCGAGCCCAGACGTTAACCAGCCCCGCCAAGTTGGCAGGAATGCTCAATCCGTACGTAATCACGAGCGCAATGAGCCCGGCACTGATGGCGTCGTGCATGACAACAACCCCCATCAAAAGCGCAAACACGATTGAGCAACTGATCAGCTCCACACGCAACGCAAACCACTGGTTGGCCGTCACTCCCACCAAACTTGCGGCCACAAAATCTTCCAGGAGGTTGTCATGCAGAAGGTTGAAGCGACGGAGGTACTTGGCACCAAACGCTCGGATGGTCGTGGAGCCGTCAATGCCTTCGCTGACCAAACTCAACAGCGGCGACCGCGTCGTCTTTTGGATGCGGTTCACTTCCCGCAACGGGGCCAAAAAGTACAAACCCAATAAAGTGTACACAGCCATGAGCGGCAACACGATCAGTCCCATCCACTGGGTGATGGCGATGGTCGTGACGAGTTTTGCTATTGCGGAGGCCGTTTGTATCAGCATCGGTGTCGCGGAGAATGGAATGGCCATGTCCACTTGAATGATGTCGTCGCCGAACCGATTGAGAACGCGGCCGATGGGGTTAGTGTCGAAGAACAACATGGGGGCTTCGAGAAGACTGTGCAGCATCTCCGAGAACAACTTCTTCGCCCCGCGCAAGCCATACATCAGCACGGACGCGATCTGCATCAACGTCACCACGCTGGTGGCAAGAACGAGGATGCCGTAGATGAGGATGTTGTGGTTCGTGTTGGCTCGAAACGCAGCTGGGGACAGCGTCGTGCTTTGGTTGGACCAGTGGGACAGCCACATGTCGCTGCCGACCTTGATGGCTTCGACAGCCACCGTCAGAAACACCATCACGGACATGGACCGCCAACCTCCGATCGCCCGGATGTACTCTACCACGACAGCCTTGGACACGCGGCCTTCGGCACGCCCTTCTTCCAACACGAGGGTTCCCGATTGTTGCTCCGTCGTGTCCAGCAGGGTTTTGTCACGGCTGTCGTCGTTGTTGTCAGGCTTGACGACCAAGTCGTCGAGGATATCCTGGCTATCCACCGCCCAGTAGGCCGTGGGGGGAGGCAAGGGGGTGACAGATGAGACTGGCTTGGGCGAGTTGGTGCGGTTGCGAGGTGACGTGGACTCGGTGACGGCTCCGTCTTGGACGAGGAACGTGCGATGGACGTGGGGGGACTGGATGATGTCGTGACTATGGGTGACT